TTGTTACTGTTGAAAGTCTTTGAGTGATGTGGCTTTTGTTATCTTTGTGATTTTGTAGCAGTTTATAAGACCTGATGAAAGATCATCATCTTGAAGACCCAGAGAATTCATTTGCTTGAAACTATAAAAATAGCAGTTATGATAAGAAAAACTAATTTTTATAAATAAGAAAAACTAATTTCTTTTTCTTTTGGTCAATATGATTAGTATAAGAAAAGCAAATCCTAATGTTATGACCAACATAAAAATTGGTAACTGCAATTTTGTATACATGAAAATTGTCTGTATATTACTTGGACTGTTATCTCCATGCTTACTCCTTTTCAAGTGTTGCTTTTTGGCATTTTTTTTTTATGGCAGAGAGCCAAAAGAAAGTCCAAAACTCTTTGAGGTAAAGAAAGTATAAAAAGAATTAAAACTGCTTTGAGTTATTTATAAGTTATAACATTTTATCTACATTAAGATGAAAAATATACAAACAGAATAAAATCTTCCAGATGTGCTGAAAAGTTCCCCATTTAATTTCTGATAACACATTTAGCCTTTCTGATTGTGTAAAATAAAAATACCAAATATGATGAAAATTTATTTAAAATTTTGCAGCTGTTAGAACAAATATACTGTCTGCTATTGCAGTCATTGCAACAAGCATAAAAGATCAAAGTTAACAGAAAATAAACTTTAAAGTTTTTTACATTTAATAACAAAGAAATCTTGTTACCACAACTAATGCAAGCCAACTGTTATGTCAAAATTAGAGAAAACTAGTAATATTAATAGTCTTTTCTTGTATTTAGTACAATTTTTATATTTGCTTTTAAATGATGATTATATATTTGTTTACATATTGACTTATTGAAGGATTTGTTTTTTTTTACAGCTTATCAATCTTTTGCAGGTTATTTAGAACCATAAATTACTTTTAGATTGTAAAATTTTTTGAGAATCATGATTTTAGTGATACAATCATTTTAATTTGTCTCAATCCTATTTGCTTTGCCATTATTCTGCATATACATGCATTATGCATTACTAATAACCTATTTGCTTTGTCTGCAGATATTAGTATTCTGATACCAATGTATTACAGTTGCTTTTAAATATGGTCATTTCTATTTATTTTACTTTCAAGGAAAGCACATATGCTAGGCCACAAAAATCTCCTGAGCCGACCAAGCATAGAAATAAATACAATATGGGAACCAGTAATAAGGAGTGCCAGAGAAAAGCAATGATAACAAAGTTGCAATATGAACTCTGGTAAAAATGATGCTGAAAACAACCGGTTTATAATACTCAGAAGTTCATACCCAGATGTCCTCAAGGACATATGGCACAGTGGATAAATGCGTTGGTTAGATCCAGTGACAGACCCAAAGAAGGTTAGTTCAATTCCTGGTTAAGGCAGTAGAGAACTTTCAGAGGGAAAATTAGCAGGAGATAACTGATAACTGACATCCATCAAACCTGGCACGTGGAACTAGAACAGTCTACCCCAGTGAGCGAAATAAAGGGTTCAGTTCGAAATTCCAACCACCTGAAGAAGGCAGGAGCATACAACGGCCGAAACGTTGTGACAAATATGGCGACAAAGATGAGGACAATAGTCCGACTAATGTAAATACTGAAAATAAATGTAAGTTTTTCTAATTGGTTCCTATACATTCTATTTGGCATGTTCCTACAGGATGCTAGCGATCATGGCTCTCCACAATTTCCTGTTCTTTGTAGCTCTTACTAAATTTTGTTATTTTGCTATCTTTCCTAAACACTGTTTGGCCATCCATTTACAAAAGCTCTCTATGTAGGCTATGCACTATTTTCCTGTTCCTCTTGCTTTCAGTCTGTCCTGTGAGTTTCAAATTTTCTAAGCCCTTTTTTCTCATTATGTGCACTAGAAATTTTAATTATCTCTTCCTGATGTTAAGTGTCTTTTTTGTTTCCATTTTCTCAAAAACTGTCATTGCTCACATATTCAGTCCATGTGATTCTCAGCATCCTTCAGTAGAATCACATTTCTGTTGCTTCAAGTCTCTTCTTCTTCAGTAAGGAGATTATCCAGCATTTAATGCTGTATAGGGTGACTGATATTATGTAACATAATAATTTTTTGTTTGCTTAGCTTTTGGATATAATATTTTGCGATATTGTGTCATTTACAAAACCATTTTAAATTCACTTTCAATAAATCTACAATGAAACATATCAAGTTGTTTCTTTTTCACAAAATATCTTTGAATGATAGGGATTTGTCTTCTATTCCAGCAAAATATAGTTAAAATCTTATATCACAGATTCAAATAATAATTGTTAAACAAAAGATTCTTTTTTTCTTTTAATAAACAGCTTCATTTAAGCAAGTGAATTCAATTCTTTGAAATCATTGGCTATAGTTAGCAAGTCTCTCAGACAATAAGTTTCATCATTTCATTCAATTCTTAATGAATGCCACATAATTTGACTATGTCAGACTTATGTAAACTTATTAAATTTCTAATTAATATCTAAAGAGAATCATAAAATATTGGAAAGACTTATATAAAGACTGCTTGCTTTAAATGTCCTTTCTTTTAGACTTTCCACTGATTGACAGCATTTCTAGCTTCACATCATGTTTCTTGTCACTATAATCTATCCTATGCATTTATCAAACATGAATACATAGTTTCTCAATAAACTGGTGCCATGTGGAGCATAAAATACTTTAAGCTCCAGAGTTCATAAAGATTTTATTGCAAACAAAATTATTCTGTACACACATCTTCAGACTTGAAAGTATGATGTATTCTCTGTCACAAGTTAAAAGAGTGCATTAACATGAAATTGCTTCTGTGAATAAGTTAACATTTCAAACTATTTTAAAAAGCTTCAGTAGACATGCTATTTAGATGGTAAGTTATTCATTTATTCACTGATAAAATTTAATGATAACAGGAAAGGGTTCTTTCCAAACCACTTTTGGAAAAAATCTGCCTTGTCAGTGTATCACACATGGCACATAATGGACTAAAGAGAGGAGAGTTTTGTTAAGAGTCATTTTCTTAAGTTACAAATTAACCAATAAATGAACCTCAGGTTAATCAACTACTTTAACTACTGAACTATTTTGCTGATAATCATAAAAAGAAAAGTAACATAAACAATAAATAATTATTATGATTTAATATTATAATAAAATATAACATATTTAAAAGAAATTTGGTATCTTGTAACAACTAAAATTATCTTAAAAGGGAAAGAGTCATTATAAAATATAAGTACTGAACCATAAATCCCACAGTTCGATTATCCTAGTGTCGTAACGAGTTATATAGTTTAGAAAATCTAAGATGACAATGATGAAAAATAACATTGCAACATTCTCAAAGACAATGCCAATTTTAACCTAAGTAGTGTATACATACAGTAAAGAGTATAATTTGATAACATTTTCAGCCATTTTTAAAACTTGTAATGTAGTAACACTCATACGAGCGAACTATCTGTGCCAGAGCTTTAAATAATGATATATGTGGCAATAAGGTTCAGTATAGTGCATGTCATGGAAATGCACAAGTGTTCCTTTTATTCAGTTAGAGCTGTTTAAAAGGGGTTGGATGCCATTGCTGGTATATATGTATATGATTTACTGAAGGTGCTTCAGTGTTAGTAACAGTGGTCAAATATAGATTTCTAGATCAGAAGATCAGGTTCTGGATGGTTAATTATTACAGGCACTCACCAAGATTGATGCACTATAAGGATATCAGTAGCAGACTCCACAACATTCATAGCACAGATCAGAGAAATATGACTGTAGGAGTGTTAGCATGGATTTAAGCATTTGCTTACAACTACAGACATCCATGTCTCTAGCCACACTTCCACTTATACCATAATAACATCATCATATATGTCTCCAGTGGTGTCATGAGAGAGTCACTTCGTGGACTAAATAGTGCTCTTAAGTATTAAGTGGTGAGAGCAGGTTCTTCCTACAAGCAAGTTATGGTCATTTGTGTGTGTGACAGAAACTTAGGGAGCAACATCTTCTTGGGTGTATTTGCCCATCACACCAGATCTAGCCCCTGACATCATAGTGTACATCATGTTACAACTGTGAGGGAAACAGCAGAGGGAACATTGAACAGTAACATACATATCCAGAACATTTTTCAAGACATTATGTTGTCATTCCTGCAATAAGAATATGACAGTGTTCCACCAGAATAATACCTGCCTACATGATGCCTGTGCTACTTGAAATGCTCTGGAACATGTTTGATAACTTCCCTGGCTGTCATGATTCCCATTGAACATATTTGGGACATGATGGGTTAATGCTTAACTTGTTACCTCACCTACAATTGCATCATCAAGTGCAAAAAGTGTGGAATAATGTATCACAAGATGGTATCGGGCATCTATATGGCTGTATACATATGAGAATACAAGTCCATATTAATATCCAAAAAGAATAGACAGTGTTTTAATATGGGCCTAAGTATGGTCGATACATCCTTTATAGTGGAGCCAATGCATTTACTGATCTGTCTATGGGATCATTCCAGTTATATTATTTGTATGTTTAATCTTGAGTAAATTGAAACATGTATTCAGGTTGGTGCAATTCTATTTTCTGTCACTTTATGTAATTCATATATTTAGAAAAGATAATGGGTTCTCATCATTTTAGATATCATAGTAACATTATATAGAATGCATATAATAGTAAACAAAAGTATTTTTTCCTTTGTATGGATATAAAGTTTTGCAAAAGGATTTGGAAAGTAACCAAGTAAAAAAGCAACATTGAAAAAGGGAGTAATATGAAAAAAAGTATCCAAGCAATATCAAATATAGATCAAATTTCAATATGTCTACAATATGAAAATGTGTCTTTCTAAGGAAACAAAGGTCGCTAACTAATTTTAAGGAAAGTAGCTTCTGAACACCCAGGTCAGCCATCCCCACACAATAAAAAAACAAAGAAGTGTGAGTTGTTGCTATTGGATACTCACCACTGGGTGTTCTGTGCACAAACACCTCGGTGACTGGACCCTGCTGCTGGATGTCCACCAGAGGGGAGTGAGAGGGTTCTTGATGGGTAGGGGAAACTTTTTGGGGAGGTAGGACCTCAAACTTGGGCTCAGGGGGAGGAGGTGCTGCCGCACTATCTGGCTGGACTGTGGGTGGGAGACTATGGTCCAGCATTTCCTGCAGCACGTCAATAGCTGAATTTGTGGTGGTAGTAGATGCAGTAATGGAGCTGTCATAGTGTGAGGTGATGCTAGTGTATTGTTGCTGTGTGGCTGGGGCTGGTGCAGGCTCTGGGGCTGGTTCAGGTGCTGGGGTTGGCACTGGGACTGAATTTTGGGCAGGGGCAGGCTCTGGTTCTGGGATTGGCTCTTGAACAGGGACAGAAATTGGCTTGTGGGCTGGGGCAGGCTCTGGCTCAGGAACTGGCTCTCGGATAGAGGCTGTGAGAGCTGGCTCTGGCTCTGGTTCGGGGATGGGCTCTGGGGCAGGAGCTGGCACAAATTGTGGTGGTGGTGCAATAACTGTGTGCTGTTCCTCAACAACATTGCTTGAGGATGATGTTTCGTATGTGCTATAAGTAGAAGTTGGCAGGGATTGTGCAAGGGGAGGGGAAAGCGGTGGCATTGCACCATAACTTGTAGGCATCATTGGCGGCTTGTCTTTTACAACCGTACCTTCATTAGAAGTAACTGTTGTGGTCACAATGGTGCTACGCTGCTGGGGGCGCTGCTGTGGGGGCCAATCACGGCTGTTGGAGCGCTGCCTTTGCATGTATTCCTTGCTGCTTGTGCGAACTGGTGGGGTAACTGGAGGGGTATTGGTTGCTCGGATAGTGGGGCCAGGTGATGGAGGGGGTTTGTTAGCCGTACGACCATAGGTTTCGGGTGAAGTGACATCAAACACTTCATCAACAACAGCAGGTTGATGCCTGTGGGTTCGCTGGGGAGGTGGCGGGGCATTTACTGACATCTGATACACAGTATACCCTCCAACTGTGATAGGAGAGGTCGGACCATTGATTGAATAACTTTGCATGACCTCCTGCTCTTCAGCATCACTCTGTGCTCGCTTGTGTGCATAACGGCTCTGAGCAAATTTCAGTTCCTCAACAAGAGCTTTTTCTTGATGGGTCCTTTTACCATCAATCTCTTCTTTCTTTTGACGAAGCTTTTGCTGTTGCATTTCAAGCCAGGACAATGAATCAGAATCCATCGGTAGTGATGTGGTTTCTGTGGTGTAAGTATTCTCGTAATCTGTGCGATAAGGCAATGTGTAAGTTTTGGAGGTCATTTCTTGATTCACAGGTTCTGGTCCAGAACTCTTGACTGTCTCCACCTCTTGGACAGTCTTGGACTCCACAACAGAAGGGATGGTGTAAGTGAACGCATTCTTTGGAACATGCTTCATTTTTTCATCTGTATTTTGAGTGATTGTGTAGTGCCTCTCCTCTATGACAACAGGCACTTCTGTGATCTCAGTTTTCTGTGTGGTCACAGTCACTGATGAGGCATCCTGTGTATCAGCGTAAGTGGTTGTCTCTTCTCTCTTTCTTACTGTGGTGTTGTCATTAACTGCTTCAAAGCCTTGATTATTCAGCAAATCCTCCAATATAGCATCAAGTTCTCTATGTTCGTTGAGTGCTTTAACAGGTGCAGGTTTCTGTGACAAATTACTGGCAGCGTTGTTCACGGTTACAGTTGTACTTTGCTCATGTGTTATCGTCTCATTGGGTGCTGGGCTCACACCTGCAGTGTAACCTATAACAGGAGAAGAAAAAGAAGAACAAAAATTTTATTAAGTCAATGGATAAGCTGACTTAAATCAAGAGAGCTTTTTAATCTTTTAATCCACTGTACTTGATATCTAAAATAAATTCTTACACCTCATTTAATCAAATCTAAAATTCAAATATAGTCCAATACAGCTAAGCGTCACAAGCTTATCATTGCAAAAATGACACATTTTGTTTAATTTTAATTTAAAGTTATTTTAAGTATAGTAGATATCTACTTTAAAATGTTTAATTTTAAATTATTTTTAGTGTAAATTTATAAAAAAAAGATACATTTTTAATTGATACAGAAAAATAATTTTTTTAATGAATTTGTTTTTAATGAATTTTTTTAATGAATTTCTTTTTAATGTACATACTGTTATGTTAAAGCATTAGTAGATCTTTATAGCCATACCAATAAATAGCATGATTATTTGCTTTCATTTTTTTTTTTTCATACAAGTAAAATACATATTAACTACAATAATATTACTTTCAAATTATTTAGATATTTAAAATCATAATGACTTCATTTTGTACAAATTTATATTTTGCATTTGTAAAGGTTTAAATAAAATAAAAGATGAAGCCTTAAGAGTAAAAAGGTCACAGGGTAATTTTGCTTGACTTTCAATGACAAGTAAATATTTATATTATTGAATTCATTAACTTAGAACCATCTAATCTTAAATAGAAATGATACTACCAGAAATAATATAAAAATAAGGTGTAAAGAAGATAACGGTTCTAAATCAATTCTGATTTCTTTATTTTCCATATCACTCCAAGAGATAGGTGATCATGGCTCTCCACAGATTCCTTTTTTTTTTCTTTAATAAATGTAAACTGTGCATTGCCATAATTCTTATTGGGGAAAAATATTGTGTTATTTTCTATTGACATATCCATGATTTTGAAGTGATAGGTGTCCTATGAGACTTGGTGGCCAGACAAGGCAAGATTATCCAGTCTGCTGTAGTATTTAACTCATAGCTAAGTATTTCTTTATTATAATACTCTAAGAGTCAAATTAGATTATGACCAATTCTATCCATGATACTGGTGGACTAAAAACCATTTGACCCAAAGGTCATAATCTGATGAAGATTTTGTTGGAAGTACTGCTGCCATTTTTCCAGCAGCATATGTGTGTGTGTATATATATATATATATATATATATGCAAGTTTTGTTGAAAACTACTGACATCTCTAGATACATATATAAAACAATCCATATATTCAATTGAAAGTAAAATAAAATACATCCTTGATAATGGCTAAAATTATAGCTAAAAGCATGTGGAAAACATTCAGAGAATTTTTATATAATTTATGTCTTGAAAAGAAAAAAATTATATGAACTCATGAGAAATTATATATATAAAAAACTCAACCACAGCACCTTGTCAGTCATTTTCAATGAAACTTGCATAAAGAGGGATTGCTATATATATATATATATATATATATATATATATATATATATATATATATATATATATATATGCCTAAATATAGAGTTAAAATGAAAGGGAGGAAGATTATGTTGCATCAATCTTCCAATTGTAAATAAGCTTTGAATAGTGACCAATAGTGCCAATCTTCTATTATGTCAGATGCTATAACAGGTCCACTCTAACTCTTGCATACAAAGACAGTATATAAAATGAATTATAAGATTTTGTTTAATTAAAATAGTGACCCACAGTTTTAACAAGTTTACTGTTATTTTCTACTTCCAAAATGATTTTTCTTATTTCTGATCATTAAATGAGATACTAGAGTATTCTGATTCTTGTCTCCAAAGTAGATTCCTGCAAAGATAATGTTAGACATGCATGCACAGACACCAAAGAGCCAAACAACACAGAATCAATCTTTACATGCTCAGCCAACATGCAATTAGACAGGAAAAAAAGAAATTAATTTTCTTTCCATTAAAACAAAATATAAAAACCTGAGGATTCTTTGAATTAATCTTAATAAACTAACAATATTTTCATAACTGAAGACAACAGAAAAGAAATTAAAAAAAAAAAAAGATGTTATCACAAAAGTCAAATTCTTTTAACTATTTAACTTAACATTTGTTGAATGTATAATACTTAAATATTTATATTATTATTCTAGCTGTTTGTATGTATGCCAATTGTGCTTTTTAAACTGGGATCAGAGTGTAGTAACTGTAGAACATCTAAGCATTCTCAGCTAGATACATTTTCATTTTCTCAACAAAGAATTTTAAGAAAAAACTGGGAAAAGTAAGAGAGATGCGGAAACTGAAGTGGATATGACGAAGACAAGAAAATAAAAAGAATACAAGGTTATATATATATATATATATATACACACACACACACATACATAGAAGGTGTGATAGCTAAATTCTAAATTACAAAAAAATGTAAATAACATTGACATCTCATTTTTAACATATATTTACCAAAAATATACAAAAATAACTTGCAATGCTAAAGAGTATCATAATTTCTCAAAAATAATATGCACCTATAAATAATACGCACCCCAACAAATGATCCAGTAATTAAGAAATATATTTATTCCTATGTATAATATGCATCAAGGTGTCTTATGGCAGCCATGGATGGCTCTGAAGATGACATTCTTTGGCAAGAGAATGATGAGGCCAAAGGTAATTTTGAACAGGACAAAGATAATATTGTGAATGATAATTTGTTTAATGACAATTTAGATATTGATTCTATAATAGAAAGTGATGACGATGATGATAATTAATATTTCAATAAATTGTTAATGTGATATCCTCTTTTCTTCAAAATTGGCCTTCTTATAGATTATTTTTTCACCAAGAAAGAATGCGGTTATTGATAAACAAATTTATTGACAAAAAAATGTTACAATTATTGTTGGATTTAAAATGAAAATTGGGATAATATCTTTATTTTAGAACAACAAATATGTATTTATTATTATAAATCAATAACAAAAAATTTTTTTTTTGTTTAAACCTATTTATAATATGCACCCCTACTATCACCTGTAATTTACAGTAAAAAATGCGTATTATTTTCAAGAAGTTATGGTAAATTTATTTGATAAAATTTCCATTAGTTTGAACCATGGCCTCCAGATGACTTCAGAATCTCCTGCAACTCTTTTGGACGGCCTCCTTATTTAAGTTGATGAATGCTGCTATAATCCTTGCCTTCAGTTCATCTTTGATCTTACAAGGAGTTTTGATCACAATATTTATTGAATGTCAACTCAGTTTCATGATTTCTCACTTGTGAGAAATAATGAAACTGACATCCAATTAAATAAATAAAAAGGAAACTTTTCTTAGCCAATGTATTTCATCCTCTAATGAACTTTATCAAAACATATTTGCTTTGATAGTCACGACAGGACAAAATGCATCAGCTAAGAAAAGTTTACTTTTTGTCTTTGTATTCATATTGTCTTTTATGTGTGTGTGAAGAAAAATTTGGAAAAAACAAACAAAAATCCTTAAATGCAATTATGTTGTTTAAAATGAATGATTCATTTTAAACAACATAATTGCATTTAAGGATTTTTGTTTGTTTTTTCCAAATTTTTCTTCATTCTGTCGGATCTATATCCATTTACATTTGCTTACATATATGTGTGTGTGTGTGTGTGTGTGTGGACCGGCTCTTACATTTCACCATTCCTGGTAGAAATTCTCTTATCACAGTGTGGGATATCTAATAACAAAAGTGATAAAAAGAAAAAGAATCTAAATGAAATTAGTTAGATTTAAAAAAAAAAAAAAAAAGAAAAGAAAGAGTAAAATTTAAATTCCTAGCATCCCTCGTTCATGTGCATGTGAAGCCGCACCAACATAACAAATTTAATCCAATCAAGTCCTAAAGATGAAATGTGTCACACAAAAACTTTTTCCACTTTGTGATATATTTTTTACCCTATATATATATATATATATATATATATATATATATATATATATATATATATATATATTCATGTGAAAAAAGTTAGTACAGCCCAATGAAAACTTTTTGTCTTTTTTCAATGCATCTAAACAGATTTGCATTTGATCTAGATTTTAACATTATTTACAGATGGATGTAATAAAAGTAAAAAATATTGCTTTAATTATTTGGAAAATTGTAATTATAGAAATATAATTTTCTTGTGGGGAAAAAAAATTAGGAGACTTCCCCTACCACATGCAACTTAAAATTCACTACATCATATGCATAGGTAGTAAGTCAATTGTCTACGAGAGACTGAGGAAGAGGAGGTGAGAGCGAGACGATGCAAGCATGTCCGACCTTCCAATTAGTGGCACTCACTACTAGAATGACCTGTGTGTATAACTGTACTGTATTTCATATTGTACTGGTTGTGTACAATAAACCTTTCTTCTATTATCCACCTGGTGTTAAGTATTTATTCCCTTAGCATGGAATATAAGAATAGGGAATCATGGAAAGCCATTATTGCCCACATCCTGAAGAGATGTTATACATAGAAAAATTAAGCAATATCAGTTCAATAACATTACGTGTAAAATACAACAGAATGGCACATATTTCATTTGCTTTTAAAACTTTTGCTAATAACTTGACAATGTCTTCTGACATTAATTTCCAGCTATGTTCGGTCAAAACAGTGGTACCAACTTCATGGATTCCTGTTAATGACTCATAATCACAATTGTAGCAGCAGAATTCAGTGTGCACAGTAAACTGAAAGTATTGAATACTTCTTGGCCTTCTGTACCACACCTTGATTATAATTTACATTCCAACATAAGTAAAATTAATGGTATATACTGAAGAAGCATGTGAGGCTTTCCAATATACTAAAAAGGTAACTGTATACTAAGGTGGTCCATGTGTTCTGTAGATTAATGCATCATAAAACTGTTGCCATTAACACGTTATCAAACTTGTTTTTCTTCCCCTCTAAAATTTACAGCAGAATAAGTAATGATCAATAATTCGGCAAATGTG